CTGTCGGATACAATAGCCCCGCGCAATACGGGTCGCTTATCAAGCACCTTTGCGACAATACCGAGGGCGCCGATAAGGTGACGTTCTCGACGCATTGCCACAACGACTTGGGGCTTGCGACAGCCAACACCCTGGCAGGAATCACCAACGGCGCGCGCCAAGTCGAGGTGACTATCAACGGGATCGGCGAGCGCGCGGGAAACACGGCGCTGGAGGAGGTGGTAATGAACGTGCACACGCATCCGGACGCCTACCCGGTGCGCCACACGATCAACACCAGGCTGTTCTTTGCAACCTCGCGCATGGTTGAGGATCTGTCTGGCATGGCGGTGCAGTCGAACAAAGCCATTGTGGGACGCAACGCCTTTTTGCACGAGAGCGGGATCCACCAGGATGGCGTTCTCAAGAACAAGCAAACCTATGAGATCATCCGCCCCGAAGACGTCGGTGTTACTTCGGGGAACTTGGCGCTTGGCAAGCATTCGGGGCGCCATGCGTTCAAGACCAAGCTGGAGTCCCTTGGCTATGCAGGTGGCGCGCTCTCTGATGCGCAGTTCCAGACGGCGTTTGCCAAATTCAAGCAGTTGGCCGATGTCAAGAAGACTGGCGTCACTGACGGCGACTTGCATGCGCTGGTGTCGGATTCGCGCAACCCTTCGGATAGCACACCAGTAACCGCGTCGGCCATCTCGACTGATGCGATCCCAGCCGAAGAAAGCGCCGCTCTAGCGTCGCATGACGTAACAGCTCCGCGCTTCACGCTCAAGCACATGCAAGTGTTTACTGGAATTGGCGTCACGCCAACAGCCACAGTGACGCTGCATGATGCCGTCAAGGGCGAGGACCGCATGGATGCGGCGCTGGCCAGCAATGGACCGATCGAGGCCATCTACTCTGTCATCCAGCGCATCACTGGATTGGCAATCGACTTGCTTGCCTTCAACGTATCCGCCACCAGCGAAGGCGAGGAGACTCTTGGCAAGGTTGCTGTGCGCATTGCACGCTCTGCTTCTGCACAAGCAACAGCAGACTCCCCGGGCCTGGCGCCCAGCGGCGCTGTGCCTAAATTCGCTGGGCTTGCCACCAACGTCGACATCATCACCGCCTCCGCCAACGCCTACGTCGCTGCCCTCAACCGTTTGGTCAGCCACGACGAGCGCGACACACGTGCCAGCCATAAGGATCGCAACGTTGACATTTGAAAATAAAAAACTAAATACTCATTTATTTCGCTTCCTACCACGATTGAAAGCTCCACCCCCTTTCATTTATTTTTTTTAGTACGATCCGTAGAGCTCGCGCATCTGTGCTCCAATAATGTCGATCTCGCGAACAATCTCCCAGCCAAGCATCACTTGTGTGTAGTAGAATGCGTAGCGCACACGCATGGCTGCCGTATGCGGGACGTCGTTGTGTGGATGGCACATGGCAGGGGGGTGGTTCTCCTCATCCTCGGGAAGAGGGTCCAGGATCCCTTGCATTGCGCGAGCTACACGTTGCTGCGCAGCCTGCGTGGGCGGAAGCACTGCCGGCAATGGCGTTTTCAGGACAAGCGCCGATGCCAGAACGTACATCGATAGCGTTACCAATGAGTCTCTGTGCTCGCGCTCCAGGGCTGCCAGCAATGCCACGGCCGACAGCGATGACAGCGATGTTGATGAAGACATCGCCAGCCCCATTTCCTCCTGTTGCTGCTGCTGTTGGGTTGCTAGCTCTATAGAAAGATCCATCCTGCTGTCCTCCATCGACGATCCATGGTGCACCGGCAGCACGACCCAGCGCGCAGCAACCATTGCATCCAGCAGCCGCTGGCACGCATTAGTTATGCGTTCGTACGTGCGCGTCGGGTATGGGCCCTTGAGCCGCGGCTCGTTTGCAGTCAGCGCAAGCAGCGCGCGGATCTCGACCAGCGCGCCCTGCAGCTCCAGTTCGCTTTCCAAGTAATCGCCCACCGTCGCCAATGCCTCCCACTCATCCTCAGCGCTAGCAGAAGCAGAAGCAGCAACCGCAGCCATGGCTGGGGTCCGATTCTGCCAGAGATCGCTCCACAGCCTATCGTAGAGCAGCGACGCCCGCAGCAGCCACCAGCTTAACGCCTTGCGCACACGCACACGGGCCTCGTATGGCCACACATACATTGTGATAAGCATGCCGGCCAGCACGCCAAGCGCAACCGATGCAGTCCGCCGCACCGCCAGTGTCCCGATGCTTTCCAGGCGATCCTCGCGCGCTACCCATTTGTTGATTAGAACCACGCCAAACGTCACTAGCGCAAACTGCCCAATCTTGGGGTACTTTCCGTGGAGCATGATGTGGAAGCATGGGATCGCAAACAGAACAAGCAGCATGTACATCAGCAGCGGGATGGCGCTGGCCGTCTCGTAGACAAGAAAGGCCGCCAGACCGCCTGCGCACGTGCCAAGCACCCTGTATACGCTGACTACCAGCGATCCGCCGACTGTGGGGACCATGATGGCCGCCGCCGAGATAACCATCCAGTCCATGCGCTCCCTGCGGAACGCCAAGTACATGTCCATGCTCCAGTAGCACGGCAGCGCCAGGAGCGTTATCAGCAGCGCGTACTTTGTTGCAAACTTGACGTTGAGCTGGCCGGCCCACGTCAGGATGCGCCAGACCGCATGAGCAAAGCGCTGCGCGCGCGTCACAGGCCGCGGCGCATGCAGGGACCGCGGGTCGGCAAACTGCGCAAACTCGTAGCGCGTCTCCAGGTCGCTTGTGGCGCCTGTGTCCCAGAGCGCCCGGAAGTTGCTGGCGACCCAGCCGGCGAACGAGCGAATCCCCGGGATGATGGCGCCATGGCTTAGCGGCCGCGGCGGAACACATACGGCTTCAGCATACGGGAGAATGTCAAAGAGCTCGTCGGCAAACTCGCGCAGGCTGTATACGAAGAAGTGCACCACAAACAGCTGCTCTTCCGTAGTTGTCGTTGTTGCTGTTGTTAGTGGCGATGGTGTTGTTTCTGTCGGTATGTCGAGGTCGCGGACGGCGTCGCTGTAGTTGGCGTGGAACTCGTGGATCGCGCTAGTCATTTCCAGGCGCAGTCGCTCGATCTTGCGCGCCACTGTTGCAGCATCCTCTGCTTCGTCGTCGGCCTCAGAAAATGCCACGCCAATCATATCGCGGATGGCCATCAGCGTCTTGTCGCACATACGTGACAGCTGCACTACTGGCGTCCGGATTCGGCAAACGATACTGGCGTAAGCTGACGTCTCCGGTTCATCGCCATCGTGGGTGGCGGTTTGCTGCAGCTCCAATCCGGATCCCATGCTGCTTAGCCGCAACCCGAGCTCCTCCAGCCGGCCAACCAGCTCGGCTACTTGGTTGCGGCGCGCCCATACGCGTCGGTCTGTTGGATCCAAGGATACAGCTACCAACTGCGACTTCAGTGTCTGCAGCTGCTCCCAATGCGCATGGATCGCTGCCTTGAGCTCCGCCGGCTTTGCGCCATCGCGTTTCTTTCTCTGTGCTGCTGCTTCTTGTGTGTTATCGCCTTCGTCTTCCGGGTGAACATTGATTATGGGCGCCAAGAGCTGTGGCAAAATGTCGCGGAACGAGCCAAGCGCCATGCCCAGCTTGTTGCGCAGCAGGGCGCGGGACGTTGTGGGACGCACAAACCATCCAACCAGGAGACTGATTGTCATGCCAGTCAGCACGGCTACCAGAATGTGCTCAGCCTTTTTGCCGACGCTCTCCGCCAAACTCTCGTCGCTATCCGGTCCGGGCCATGGAATGCCGCCTCCCTCATTAACAACAGCTGCTGTGGCAGCGTGTTTGTTGGGGCAGCTTCCGTTGGCCGCCGCCCTGTAGTTGACTATCGGCGCCTCACGCAGCATCACCAGGTAAAGCACAATGTTGGCGATAGTCGTGCCAGTGATAACCGACACGCGGTTGCTGTTGGCCTTGAAGAACGCCAGGCACCAGCTGTAGCCAAACACAAACACCACAAGGCAAACCACCTTGCTCTGGATCGCCAGCGGCAGCGCCTCCGGCAGCACACTTTGCCCTGGCGTCGCATAAGTGCAATGCAAGTACTCTGCGGTATACAGCGCAATATATGCAACGCAGCTGGTGACGCATACCCAAATGAAGCTGACAAGCCCGCCCTCCGCCAACGCGCTGCGCGTCCGTGCGGCATGCAGCCAGATGGTAGCGTTAGTCACCAGATGCGGCGCCATGTAGTCTGGGTCGCCCAGCCAGTCGCGCAGAAATGGGATGAACGGGAAAAGCGCGGCAATAGCATACGCCAGCACTGCTTTGAACACGCTTGTTTGCTGCGACGCCTCTAGCGGCACCAGCCAGCCAAGGACTGTCCTCAGCTTTAGTGCATATGATTCACGAGGTTCCATCGTTGCTGGTGTTGTTCCGAGTAACGGCAACGTTTCATCGCTGCTTGAATGGTTGTTGCTATTGCCTGGGGCTCCTGTATCCATTGGATTGCGTTTTAAAGGCCACGCCATAGGTGATAATGGTTGCTGTAGCTGGCGCTGTGTTCCAGGTACCGGTGGCCCGACGGCAGACGCATGGAGCTGCTGGAAAAACTGACTTGACCGGTTCCCGCTGTATGTAAAACTCCGCAGAGCAATTGACGGAGGTCTCTCACCTCCATCCATCTTTGTAACTAAAGCTGAATACTAAAAATTAAAAATACAAAAAAAAGTTTCTGAAAAAAAAAGATGGATAGCAAAAGAAAGTAAAAGATAAAAATGGAAAGGATAACGATAAAAAGGCTAGGTTCCTCCAACAAACGATTTACAAACTCAATTTGCGAGAATACCAAAAAGTAAAATGGACAGAACTTGTCAAGAGTGGAACCGACCCCCTGCCCTCTTGCTTTGCGTTTTAGGCTTCTTGAGCTTGGCCTTTGGGTTTGGCCCAGTCAGTTATTATTGGAAAGCCGCCGCGCCAAAGACTTTAGAAAGAAAGTGTATTTCTACAAGTGCTTTTCTAACGCACCTGGAAGAAAGCTCTTAAATAGATCGGGTTCCTTGGTGTAGTGGGTTTATCACGTGACCTTTACACGGTCAAGGTCGCCGGTTCGAACCCGGCAGGAATCAATCTTTTTTTAGCTCTCTCGAAATGTGCGGCAATAACAATTACACTTTTTTTTGAAGTTGTAATAGCAGTGGTGTTCAGCGTTTCTGCAGCGGCACACCCTTTTCAAATAACAAAATTCAAACAGACAGCTTTGGCAATGGCGATGATGATGATAACAGGATATGTCGAAAAGGAAAAGGAGGGAAGGAGGAAAGCTTAGTCGGTATAGATATGCGTTCCAGGCACAGCACACAGGATAGCAGCGCTGATAGCAGTCATGGCCACAGCGCCAATGAACCAGCGGATGCTACGAGCACGAACCATGCGAGTAGCCGTTGGATCGACGGAAACGCGCGTGGAGAACCAGGCGCGACGCCAATCGCCAACAGACATTTTCCTCAGCGAGGCTGCTGGCTGATGCTGCTGCTGCTGTGGCGATGAAGCAGATTTGGAGGAAGTGGGCTGGCCAATAAAGTCCTTCATTGTGGGCGACTGGTACTTGCGCATGGCAGCAAGCAGCAGATCGCAGCCGCCAAAGCCCACAGACATATTCCACCAGCCGAGGATCAGCGGGAGGACGCTCCACGCGCGCTGCGCCTTGGGCTCGTGGTCCAGAAGAATAAGGGCAAGCGGCAGCGCAAAGCCAAACCACAGGAGAATAAAGGCAAACATGACGCGCAGGATGCAATGGTCGCGCGTGACGTTGCGGGACACAGCATCGGCAATGAAGATCGGAAAGTAGTAAGTGTCAAGCACGTCGTAGGCGTAGAGCAGGGCTTCCGAGAAGAGGGAGGCATCGAGGGCTGCGCCGTCGTGGAGCAAGCGCTGCTCGATTTCAGTCAGGATCTCTGGCGGCCATGGCATATGGTAGTACAGATGGTTTCGCGACGATGCCGAAGCGCCAAAAGCATTGAGCATGCCGCGGGTGCCGAGCGCGCTGCTTCCGGTGCCAGCGCCAACGCTGTTGGAGTTGTGGCTCAGATGCAGGTAGTTGCGGGGGCCGCTGGATCCAGCGCTGCCGTCGGCGTTGATTGGCGTGTTGAGGTGCTCGCGCGACATGTTGAGCGACTCGGTCGACCCCAGCTGGCCCTGCCTGTTGTCGTACTTGCTTTGGGCTCCCGAGTCGTTGCGGCTGCGGCCGTTGTGCGGCCTGGAGTTGGCTGCGCTGGGGCTGATGTAGACGCTGTCGGTGGCAGCCACGCCATATCCCTGGTGGTATGGATCGTCAAAGACCGGGCGGTGCGCGGTGCGGCTGGCATAGGCGCCGGTCTTTTGCGTCAGCATCCGCTTAAGCGACCCCATTTTGCCCCCGCTGCCGCCTCCATTGTACTTGTTGTTTCTCGGCGTCAGACCACGTGCACGAGCAGAAGCAGCCGCCGCGGCCTCCGATGGCGTCGCATAAGCCTGGCCCACGCCGCCAGGGCCAGCGCCTGTAGCAGACCAAGTGCCTGAGGCGCCAGCCGATGCATGCTGCAGCAGGTTCGGGTCGAGGGCCGCACGGAAGTAGCGCAGGAAGATTGTTTCGGCTGCCGTCTGGATCTGCACGGCCATATGCGAGCTCTGGCGGCGGCTTCTGCGGAATGCATCGCCTGCGGCCGAGCTGCTGGCAGCAGCGCCGTCTTCAGGCACAAGCACCTGCTCCGTGCTTCCTGTGTCGTGGCGGTTTCCGCGGGACAGCGACTTCATGGTTTCGCTGCGCGCAGCCGCACGCCGCGCGGGATCCTGATGCTGCTTCTCGTTATGCTCCGTCATCTGCGACTGGCGGTTGGAGGGCTGGTGAAGCGAAGAGCCAGGCGGCAGCAGATGGCTGTCGAGCGACGCGTACTGGCTACGCGCCTTGGCATGGCGCAAGTCGCTCTCGTACGCAAGGCACATCTTCTCGTGCGTGCGTGCCGCCATGTAGAACTCGAGCCACCTGCGCGCCTGTGGCTGGCGCACCGAGCAGTGCACCGCAAAGTCGCGCAGCGCAAGCGGCGCGCGCGTGCGGCGCGTCAGCACTTGGTCCAGCGAGGGGAGACCGCCGGTCCGCAGATTGTGGTCCTGCATGTACGCCCAGTCGATGGCGCTTGCATCGGTCTTGTCGCCGCTCAGCGTTGGCGCGCCCCCCGCATGCGACACCGATAGAAGCGCATTGGTTTGTCTGCTGCCGCGCATCGAGTCGGACTTTACGCCCCACGCGGCCGTGCGCTCCTCGGCAAAATGCAGCTGGCTGGATGTGCCCGACGCTACCGAGTCGTGTGCGCCGCCGCCAACGCCAGCGGCTGGCATCCGTGGAGGCGCCTCCAGAATATCGTCGTGGTCCATCGCCCCCACCGCCATCTGCGTGTATGGCATCAGCCGCTCTTCGCGCTCCAGCTCGTCAATGTTGAGCGGATCCCGCACGCCCTGCGGAAGCACCGTCGACATGCGCTGCCACGTCGGTGTTCCGAAGAACGTCGACAGGGGCGCCCGGTCATCCGACGAGCGCGCAGACATTGTGCGGAACCCGTCGCTCTCGGACCGCCCCCGCGTAGCCATTACGTTGAGGTCGCCCATGCTGTGGCTGAGCGGCCTCTCGTACGGGTTGGGAAGCGGCACGTTGTATTCGTTAGCGTTTGGATAGGCGTATTTCATGGCTGGCTGTAGAATATCCTCCCCCGCATAAAATATGAAATAAAATAAAATGCTTTTCGTTAGTCCACTAAGAAAAGAGCGACAGAAAATAAAATAAGCAGACCACTTATGTTTTCGTGTTTCTCTGAAATGTCAACCTGCATATCTCTGACGTACTTTTAGGACAATCCGAAAGAATTGGCTTTTATTTAGGTCGCTTGTGGTCTGGCGAATCATTGTGCTTCTAGAAACAATAACAACAAAAGCC